CTGTCTGTCTGTCTGTCTGTCTGTACGTACGTAACCTTGGTAAATTTGCTTGCTGAGATTCTCACGAAGTGGAACGTTCAGGTGCCAGCGAGGCGCCGGAGGATGGACGATTTCTACCGTAGAGCTTGAGAGTCAACAAGATGCACTTCAAGTTGTTCAAATTTCCACACATTTTTGTCTTGTACGGCGGAGGATCAAGCGATTTGCGCGAATGTGCGCGATTATGCTGAGCAGTGCATGAAGCTCGGCCGCAGCTTAGCGCAGCAACTACTAGCAGAGCAGCAAAAGCATTGGCATGGGCATTAGTGTATCGACTCATCCAGTGTGCTTTGGAGATCACAACCAGTACTTAGAGACAGGAACCACATATCTGTGATGGTGCGTCTCTTCACTGCAGAGGTTGGGAGCCTGCTGTGATCTCAATATCGTTCATACTTTGCAGCGCTTCAGAGTCATTGGAGGCACCTTTGAGTCCAGAAGGCTGCTATAGCCATTTAGAACTTTGCCAGCTCCAAGCTCAGTGGCAACAGATTGTTTGCAAAAGTATTCAGCCCTAGCCGTTTCTGAGTGGTGAAGTCAAGTTTCCCTAAAAATAAAGGATGGAACCCAAACCCTTCTGCATCTCTACTAGTAGCTCGCCCCACCCAGCTCAATTCCAATTACCTGTGCGTCCTTTGTGGGAAAGGTATTTTGCCTCCTGCGTCTCCGTGCATTCTGTGTAGAACTATTGATGAATATGCACGGAGTTATGAGACCTAGACCCAGCCCTTTGAGGCCTGCACCACGCGCATCCCTGCAGCGTATGGACGAGGCCGGCACATTGGCCCCAAGCTGCAAGTTTTTGCTTCTCCATCATTCCAACATTTCTCAATTCTTTACATCGCTTCCTGTCCAGGATGATAGCGCAAGCCTCAGAGCTCTGGAAAAGGACCAGCACGCCTACAAAGCACTTATCATACTGATGTTTTTTTTCTTCTTGTGATTGGCTAAAGAGGACATTCATGGGATATGTTTTAGTCTGCCATCGTCAATTGTTCCACCAAATTGCAGAAACTTTCCAGAGCGTGCAGATTCACCAGGGTAACGGACGTACAAGGGTGCTTCAGCTGCCAGCAGGTGCCATCTGAAGGGCAAATCTGGTCGAAAGGCCCACAAACTCAACCAACCTGCGACTTCACTTACACATTTTTGGTAGAATCAGAATCATAATCAAAGATTTGGACATAGATCGCTGCATAAAGTTTATCGAACGTTTACTGTAATCAATAGACCCTTCTGTGGGATGAAACTTCTGACCGTGTATAATCGGAACTTTCAAGCTGACTGGTCAGATTCCATATTTTGCAATACTTCCCTAAGAATGAGCTGACTTTTCATGTAAGACGCTTGTCTCTTAAGACTCAAGCATTATTGGTCAATTTTCACATTCGAGATAAGATACTTGCGGTTTGTGCGCCCAGGTCTGACAAACCTCGGTATGACATGAACCGTACGCAATGCAGCGGGTCTAACAATGCCTAATATAGGCTCCAAAGTTCCCAAGGCTCAAGATTTGGGTGCTCAAAAACCAAAGTCTGAAAATTCAAATCTCCGAGCTCAAATGCGCCACGGCTGAATGCATTAGCACTTTACAGCAGAACCAAAGCAAATGGCGAGAACTTGTTCTAGTATCCGGGGTGATGAAGTTGAAAGCACCGGGGCTTCCGCACCCCCCTTGCAGTAAATAAGAGCAACACACATGGAAGCACAAAGCTGCCAATGAGTCCAGGGTTTCCAGACACACACATGACATTTGCCTCTAAAGATTGACAAAACCATTCAGGGTCAAACATCTAATGTGCTTCTATTGAACTCAGATTGTGCATTGAGCATATATACATATGGTTTGCCTGAGAGCAGTGAGCAGACGCACGGTAATAAGTTGAACTGAAAGTACTTTTGAACAGAACATGAACATGTCCAGAAAGGGGTCCTTGGCTTGGATTCTGGTCATTGCACCTAAAAACAGCATGTAGTAAGCTGAACTGAGAGTATGGCTGAACATCAACATGAACATATGCAGGATCATTTTTTATTTTTTACATGGACATCTGTAGGACTACTTTTCCACACAACAACAGAACATGTAGTAAACTGAACTGGATGTAGCTTTGAACATCAACATGGACATATGCAGGACGAAGCTTTTTCCATGTATCAACGGACAGTGTAGTAAACTGAACTGAATGTATGCTTGAACGTCGGGTTTTGACCTCAGGCCATTCAAGTCAAAAGCCGGTAGATTGTTGGCCGTTCCCACCAGTGTTCTAGCGGAGTTGGACCAGGTTAGCCGCTGGAAGCCAGATCGGTGCATTTATTCATTCATTGTTGATACTAATTTTGTCGAGTACCTTTTTGAGGTTCATGGGTTCTTATTCTCTGAGGACAAGTGGTAAATTGACGTGCAAGACCCTAGCATTGAGCAGAACCTCATCAAGAAGTGACCTATTGAGACTCAACAACTTAAAGTACCGACAGCTGTTAAGTTGCTGTTGTTGAACATGTTCCAAGTGTCGTGTCAAGGCACCCCTGCCGCTGGTGAGACCACATACAGAAAATATAGCTGGTGGGTAGGAGCACCAATACACAGTACTGTACCTCCCACACGAGTCATTGAAACTTGTTTGTTGAACGTTGGAGCCTGGAGAGCTGGGAGTAAAAAACACTTTTAGCAAGAGAGCAGCAACTTGCTGTAGGTTTGGGAATGAAAGTGCGAAGCACTGAAGCACTTGTGCGAAAGAAACCTTTGCGCGTTGTTTCCTCGTCCTTGTGGAACAAGATACATTGTTGTGCTGCCGTGACAGAGAAATGTTTCTGATCAGGTGAGCAAGAATGCAAAGACACTTGTGGTGAAGGGAACTTTCTTTGTAGCACACAAAAACATGTTTTATATACACACGTAGACCCGGGGCCCCAAGTCCAGTGCTTCTCACCACAGCAAAAAGGATCAAATCTTTTCTGAGAAGTCCGAAAAGCCCTTGGATTCTCCTAGGAAGAAACACATGTGGATGTGTATTATCAGTCCCCAGTACAAATGGCCACTGGTCATGCAACGGATCAGATCTCAAGAAAATGTTTACACGGCCCCACAAACAAAGTAAAAGGAGCGGAACTTGTCAACCTATGGAACCCCTGTTTTGTGAAAATCTTGGGCCCAGGCGAACAGCCGCCTGAACTTCCTGGACAGGCTGGAGACCAGGGTACCAGTCTGTGAGGTTAGAGCAGCGTCGTGCTGTCACAAAAGGCATATATACATACATATTGTAGTGCATGAACAGCTGATGTAAAGAGAAATGAAGGAAGGAAGGAAGGAAGGAAGGAAGGAAGCAAGGAAGGAAGGAAGGAAGGAAAGAAAGAAAGAAAGAAAGGACATGTCTCTGGTCACATTGCGTTGCGAGCATGTGGGCCGGAGACACAAGAGTCAAAACAAGGTGCGCCGGGGTATGATGGCACCGCATCTGGACTCTACGAACGGGAGTTCAGAGTGATGGCCAAGCAAGTATCATGCCACGGATGACACTGACAAATGCAAGCTAGCGCTAGCAACTAGCAAGCTGACCGAGAAGGGTGGTGTCTTAGTTTTGGTGTGTCCCCGTGAAGCTGCCGGCAAGGCAGGACAGAGGCCTGGCACATTGTCCAAGCAGACAAATGAGACAGTGATCAGCCACGAGTGAGACAATGGTAGGATCGTCGCAAGAACCTTGATCACATGATTCATTACGCTTCACTTCAAGTCTGACCCACAACATTGTGGAGACATCAGCATCTGGACATCACAAGCAGCGTTTTTCCAGCCAAGAGAAGTCACAGATTGATCCTTGTTCTGTCCAAGTTTGCGTCACTCTTCACTCCAAGTTATGGACGGTTTGATGCTGGAGATGCGCGCCCAAAGACCCAAACCCACAGAATGGAGGAATTTTGGACGCCAGACCTTCCAGATGCACGCGAACCTGGACCGGAGGAAGCATCGAATCAGACATGGCAGATATTGAACAGGAAGCCGAGCAAGAAGAAGAGGTGCTCGAGAAATTTCCACTGCCAGGTATTCCAATTTCCAAACGAAGAATGTCAGGTTCCAGAGGACAGAAATGGCCAACGCTGTCCGGACAAAGGAGAGCAGCAATCAGAAAACTGAGCAGACATTTGGACACTGTCCCAACTGTACCTTAACAGAGGTCTTGAGAGCATGAGGACCGTCAGCTGAGTTCATCAAGCGACCACAACTGCTGCAGAAGCAACGGCAGCAAGCTCGCTACCAAGGACCCTGCGCTGCAGTTCATTGGCCGGGGTAGGCATTGATATCTTCGAGATCAAGGTTGCGAATGGACAGCGCTAGAGCGTGCTAAGTTTCATGTGTCTTGGTACATTGCTGCACCAAGCTGCAATTGTCAGCAGAAGGGGAGGCAAGTCAGTCCCAAGATGTTGTTTGACATGTTCATGGACAAATTCGGGGTCCACGACAGAGAAGCTTGCGCAAGGACTCTTGGCCCGGCGAATGCAATTCAAGACCTTTAGAGTAGGGCGAGTGAAAAGACATGGGTCCATTTTTGAAGGGCATGATGCACAGAGTTGTGCGCGAATTGCAAATTAGGGCAGAGAGGCTGCGGAAGCAAGTTGTAGCAGAAGCACGCTACTCCAAGTATTCGGCGTCAAGGGGTTACGTGAGGATTTTGACGTTGGTGTGATACAGAATGCCCAAGAGGGATCGCGCGAAGTCAGTGGACAGGTGGAGATAGGCCAAAATAGCCTTCATGAAAGAACGCGTGTCCACAAGGGCAGCAAGAGCCTGGCTTGTGACAGGCCATGCCCATCCGAATACAGTGTTAGAGGCCCAGTGTGTTTCAAGACAACCAACCTGGTTGGACGACAGCCTCCAGAGTCATCAGGTGAAATCCAATGGAGCAACCCCTCAAGGGAGCGTAGAGCCAACGGCGGCGAATCAGGTCACAAAGATGGCCAATCGCAAGTATCGACGTCGAAGAATGAAGACTGAAAAACAGAACGATTACGAACGGAAGACGTCGAACTGAGCGGAGAAGAGACGTAGCAAGGAAAATTTGGTATCGTACAACCGCAATTAGCACTTAGCCTAGTTTAGACTTTACAGGTGTGTGTGTGCCCCTTGTAGTCACGGGGATTCTTTTGAATTGGTTTGTTTTGTTGACGCTCGACTTTCAGCAGGGGGGCAACGGCCAGTCTTCTTACGTTGCCCAACGAAGCTACAGAAGACTGGTGGAAGCGTTCAGGGACGCCTGAATGTGCACCTGCTAACTTTTAAGTTTCCTTAAAGGGCTAGTGCATGCGGCAGACAAGAACGTACGTCGTCATCTTGATCGACCCGGGATCGTCGCTCCTGCTCTTGCGATTTTGGCCTCCTTTCCGTTTGAGGACCCCAGGCTTCGATGGTTCTTGCCTGTACTCTCTTAGGAAATGGTAGCCTAGGCCGGCGTGTGGCGCCGCAGTCATGTCCGTACGCATATCTATAAGTGTGTGTGTGTAACCCTTGGAATCACAGGGATCGTTTCGGATTGTTTTTACTTTTGGTTTTTTACAGCAGGGGGTCCATGGACACTTGGATGGCATGGGCCAACGAAGACCCATCCAAGCTGTCGTGAAAACGTACCTGCTTGGTGCACCCGGGCGCATTATAAGACGCAGCTGGTGGCCACCCTTCTTCCTTTTGTACAGTGCTAGTGAGCTCCGCAGACTTGCAGGCTACGACGTCACCCTGTCGCTCCGTTGTCGGCTTGCGCTTTGGGCCACCTTTCCTTTTGAAGACCCCTAGGCTTCGTTGGTTCCCTACCGGTACTCTTAGGAATTGGAACCCTAGGCCGGCGTGTGGCCCCGCTTTCAGTTCCGTATGCATATCCATAAGTGTGTTTGGCCTCGTGCCAACCCGGGATGAGCCCGCAGAGTGCCTCCCGTGGACCCGTTGAACGGGGGTTTGTCGAACGTATCCACTGCCCGGATACAGAGCAGCTCGCAGCGAGCGTAGGTGGCCGAGGCCGTACGTACGATGATTTTTGTCTTATCTTTGGAATTCCAAGTTGGCTCACGCCTTTACGTGACCACGGCGGTCCAAGCTGGCTTAACGCCTCAACGTGGTCAGAGCGACCGTAGTACTTTTGAGGTTCATTGGAACCTGTCGGACACTTAGGTGCACATACATCGTACACACTTCAACGAGGCAGGTCTTCCTAGGTTGTTGTAATGAGGTCTGGTTTCATCGGTTCCCGTCCCCTCCATTTGGTTCCCCTTTCACCTTTTCCCCTTCACACACTTCTTTTCCTCTTTCTTTTCATGTCTTCCCTTGCTTCATGTCCGTTCATCTCACTCCTTTCGTTCTTTTGCGCGTACAATGGTCCGGGCCTTAGTGTGTACGCGCACATCTACTTTCAACTCAGGTGTTAGGTCGCCCAGGTCTCGACAATGAGGTGGGTTCATCGGTTGTCCCTGTGCACTTGGTTTCCCTTTCATTGCAGCCACACACACTTTTGTCCTGTCTGTCTTCCTTTTCATGTCTTCGTCCTTTTGTCCTTACTGCGCGCGCATTTGCACATTCGTCCTAGCCTTAATTTTGCCTCCCCTCGGGGAGGCGTGTGTGTGTGTAACCCTTGGAATCACAGGGATCCTTTCGGATTGTTTTTACTTTTGGTTTTTTACAGCAGGGGGCCCATGGACACTTGGATGGCATGGGCCAACGAAGACCCATCCAAGCTGTCGTGAACACGTACCTGCTTGGTGCACCCGGGCGCATTATAAGACGCAGCTGGTGGCCACCCTTCTTCCTTTTGTAAAGTGCTAGTGAGCTCCGCAGACTTGCACGCTACGACGTCACCCTGTCGCTCCGTTGTCGGCTTGCGCTTTGGGCCACCTTTCCGGTTGAAGACCCCTAGGCTTCGCGTGTGGCACCGCTTTCAGTTCCGTATGCATATCCATAAGTGTGTGGGTGTGTGTGTGTAACCCTTGGAGTCATAGGGATCCTTCTGGATTTGTTTAGTATTATTGCAGGGGAGCGGTGGGCATTCTTGAAGTCACCGCTCAACGAAGACACTTCAAGTTTGCTGTGATATGCAATCTGGACGCAGATTGCACGTACCTGCATTTTCCTTTTCCGAATGGCAAGAGGCTAAGCCAAGAACCTCATTGAACGTACGTCGTCACCTTGTCGTCGGCTCGATCGGTGCTTTCTTTTGGAGTTGCTGGCCACCTGAAACCTTTGAGACCTCCGCTGGATGGACCTCCTCTTCTTTTAGGTTTCCTTACCTGTACCCGTAGGAAATGGAACCCTAGGCCGGCGTGTGGCACCGCTATCACGTCAGTACGCATATCCATGAGTGTGTGTGTGCGTGTGTTTGTGTGTGTGTGTCCACTCCTGTTTCCAAGGACACTACCCTAGTTTTTCTAATCTACCCTACAAGCTTTTCTGTACAGAAGCAGGGGGCATGGCAGCTGTTTCCCTAGCCATGCCAACGAAGCTACGGGATTCAGCCGGAAGGGAATGTGGACGCACATTCCTGTACCTGCAATGTGAACTGTTTTCAAGCTGTTCCACTGTTTAGTCGCTGAGATTTCTAAGTCAGTGCAACGCTGTCTCATACGTTGTTTCCTGCAGTATCTAGATTTAAAGGGCTAATGCGCACCGCGAAGCTACCTGAAATCACGCTCCACGGAGCAACCTTCTCAAGTGTGT